GCAGCTGATCAGTATTTCTCTCACATTTATGTTTCTCTCTCTCCATCTTCCTCTCTCTCTAAAATCAGCTCCTATTCAAATATGTGTATCTTAACGTGTTTTTTCTAAGTCAGCCCCCACCCCACAGGCAGGAGTCCCGCGTGATGAGCAGACTTCCCGGGATAAGAGAGCGTTACCATTTGAAAGGAACCTCGCCAGCCTGGCTCGCTGGGAAAAGAGAAATCTGAAAAGCCGGGGTCTCCTGTGAGGCCAGGGCGCCGGGCTGCAGCCCGCGATGTAACGGATAGGCCGTGTGTCTCGCAGGGGCCGGTATCGCGCGCCGCCAAACTGACATTTATTTCACCTCTGAAATGTTTCAACGCTGTCAGCTTCACAGGGACACAGAAGGGAGTGCTGGGTGCGGTGTCCTTTACACCGATGGCATTTATTCATCTCCTTGCGGCCGTGCACACTGTTCTTTTCAAAGCTCAATTTGCTCTAATCCACTGGCAATATTCTAGAAGAGTTTCCGGAGCAGACACTTGCGAGGGCTGATGATTTCTAAACCGGAGGGATGTCTTTGTTACTCTTCTTTTCAGGGATGGGAGTCGGTGCTGATGGCTCTGGATGTTTCGAGTTGCTTTTCCTGGCCCGACAGTGCCCTGGGCCTGGGAGGAGCAAGGCCGTTCCGAGGCCATCGGCCTCCCTAGCCCTTGTTGACTTTGGTGGGGAGGAGCCCAGGCTGGATTATTTTAATGTATCCGCTTGGAAGCCGTGTCATGACGTGAGGTGGGCCACAGGCTGCGTCTCATTCTCCCCGTTTCTGCTCTGACTCTGGTGCGGGAGAGAAGCGGGAGACGGGGAAAACGAGTAGGTGTTTTATTTCATCCCGTTCCCCGTTCCTTGTTGTGAAAAGTTTTAAGAGAGAAAGGCACTCAGGAATGTGAAGGCCGTCCTTTACGAGTCCGTGGCCATAGTTTCATTTCAGGATGAGTCATGCCTTTTTCCCTCGCCATGCCGGCCTGCGTAAACCTTCTGGAAAAGCTCACGCCCGGAGCCTGCCCACTGTCTGGTGAGCCCTTCTCAGTGTAGGTTATGCACGCTTGGAAGCTGTCATGACGTGAGGTGGGCCACAGGCTGCGTCTCATTCTCCCCGTTTCTGCTCTGACTCTGGTGCGGGAGAGAAGCGGGAGACGGGGAAAACGAGTAGGTGTTTTATTTCATCCCGTTCCCCGTTCCTTGTTGTGAAAAGTTTTAAGAGAGAAAGGCACTCAGGAATGTGAAGGCCGTCCTTTACGAGTCCGTGGCCATAGTTTCATTTCAGGATGAGTCATGCCTTTTTCCCTCGCCATGCCGGCCTGCGTAAACCTTCTGGAAAAGCTCACGCCCGGAGCC